TGTTTTACCTCTGTCCCTGCGGAGGCCAAAACAACGAGCTGTGTTTAGATCTTTAGGTAAGTTAAAGGCTGGGGAGGGAGCCACTGTCTTTTATTAGATTAGCTCAAATAGTGAGAAGAAAACCAGATCATTTTTCAGGCGCACAAGGTTTGCCTCTAAGATTATATGTTCTTCAGGCTGTCCCTCCAAAGTCATCAGGAGGGTGCATAATACGTAAAGTAGCTTTGTGAACATCTGTGAGACTGAAAATTTAGGCGACGTTAGGCAGGGAGTATGCATTGCACAAGGCCAACGCTGCTCTTAACTGGCTTCTAGACATTATTACCTTACAATTAATAAATCTTGTAGTAAAATTGCCATGAACAGCATGTGCCTGTGCTCATCTTGCACAACTTTCCCTCCAGTCATTGGTCAGACTGCTGGATGCTCAAGTCCGGTGGGGATCCAGCACAGGAGAACTTACCTGGTTCTCTTTCAGAGTGATCTGCCCCTGTTCCTTGCAGCCAATGAATGTCCTGATACACCTGTAAATCTTCTCATCCTGCTGCACTCTTTGAACAAAGTTAGCAGGAAAAAATCCAGTTCTGTCATCAATTTTCCCCTGTGGAGAAAACACACTGATGGAAGAAGACTGCTAACACTAGTAGCTTTAATATAAGTTCAGTATTGAAAATAACATATTTTTCCCTTTGGAAAGATAACAGGTATAAAATAATTAGCACATACCTTCCACCAGTCTTCATTTGAGTCTTCCAGAAGAGTGATCATATCCCCTGGCCTGTAATTAGAAGAGGAATAGTAGTTAAGATGTATCTTAATTGTTATGCTGCATCAGCTGCCACAATTACCTTCTAATAGGAAGGTGGTCCTCTCCCGGTCGTTTTATCTGAACGTTCGCTGCAGGTGGACTCAATGAGGCAGCAAGGTTTTTTTGAACCATACACAGTAACGTAGAAAGACAGTCAGTGTATTTGGGGCTAGATCTTTATTTTGAGAAAAGATCTGTGAACTGGAATTTTACCTACTGTTTAATAAGAAACTGTTTAAAAGACAGTCCTATTTGTTACAGGCATTATCTTGTTACTTTAAGACATTTCACTTTGTTGGGACACATCACTTTATTATCTGTCTTTTCAAGCTGCGATTGCAGAAGGAAGGCAGCAGGAAAATAGTTCTATTTAACTGACAAAGGCAATTAGTCAGCAGGGATATAATTGTGCCCAAGAATGTATTTTCGATTTGAATAGGACATATTTACCTTTATAATGTGTGGTGCAGGGTTGTAATTGCTAAGTATCAGCATCCAGCTGAGTAGTTCCAAAGCAGAGCTAAGAGAATAATTTGGCTGGAAACACTGGTAGCGAAATGTGCTGCGCTGATTTTGCGCAGGTAGTTGCACGGTTATTTGACCGCCTTCCCCCCATTGGTGGCACTTCATCAACGTTATGATGAAATTATAATAGCGCTGCATTGTAGAAAGTAAGTGGCAGCCCATTTCCAAACAGATTAACCTCAGAAAACTCTCTCTGCTTGATAACAGGCATTTCTTTGATTTTTATAAAATTAATGGTTGACCCCTAATTATTCAGCTTTCCTTGCATTCCCTGTTAGGCTCCCTGTATTGTTGAGGTATCAGCCCAAGAGCTTGCAAACACATCTGAAGCATATGATGGATAGTCGGTCCAATTTAACGGGCTCTTTCAGAGCAGGCATCAAAGATGTGGACCTGTCCAGGATGCAGCTGGAGGTGGGGGCTGCGGTGGCCTCTTTGGGCCACTTTCCAAGTCAATATCATTGCTGCTGACAACTGGAGAGACAGGCATTTAGTCTTCTAACACTGAGGGATCTCAACCAGAGTTTTCCAGCTTTCGCAGAAAGGCACTATCAATAGGGCAACAGGGAAGGATTTTCCTCAAGCCCTCCTCAGGAAGCTGTTGCAATGTGTTTGGAATAATTAAATGTTGCTGAGGTGAGAAAGGAAGCTAGAGGAAAAGAACAACTTGGTATCCCAGTGGTAAAAGATTTTTTTCCATGGGAAAGACATCTGTCCCTTATTCCAGTTAATATTTAACATAAAATACTTCAGTCTTGAGGGAGCCCATCTTGCCACTTCAAAGTGAACAGGCTGTAACACCTTTGCAGCCCTTTCACTGCAAGGAAGAACACTTTCAACAAGAAGGATTTAGAGAGTCCCATCCTCCAAACACCCTTTGACCTGGTTGTTAGAAAAAAAAACGTAGGAAATATAAATTTATTTGACTGTCAGAGAAAGATGGCAGCTGAAACTAAGCTGTCTCCATGTCAGCAGTCTGAACACTGAGATTTTTAGATGCAAGACCTGCAGATTTTGCTTTCTGATATTTTTTAGCACAGGGCTAAAAATGTTATGATGCAGCATAACAATTAAGAGATGTCTCTCATCTTTAAAAAGGATTCAAAACAGAAGTCCTAGCTGGACCTATGTCACTCTTGCTGCCTAGACTTAGGCTGCTGATCCCTGAAAGGGCGCAACCTACTTGGTCTTTACTACTGGTTGAAATCACTCTCAGGTCTCATCTTTTTCTTCTGTAAATCACAACCCTGGATAAGCTGTCTGCTCTACATCAGTGCTCTAGATTTCAGTAGGTGGCAGCTCATCAGCCCTGAAGTGGCCAGGCAGCCACTGATGATCATTGTAGGTCCCTTGCAACTATTTTATTATTCTATTCTATTCTACTCTTTGCAGTGTCTGAAACCTGGGGTTGCCTGTCTCCTGGGTTCTTTACTTATTGTCATATAAGGCCATCTCTTAGAATAAGCGAGCATATTACTGCAATGTCATAGTTTAGTTATGCCAGAGCTTTGGAAAACCTGACTGGCTGCTCCAGCTGTTCAGGAAGAAACCAAGGTTGTGGCAAGTCCTGATTGCTGCTGAAATCGGGGCTGGCACCTCTCCAGTGCAGGAATCTGCCCCCCATGCCAACCCCTGAGAGGTGAGCTGAGGTCTCTAGAAAACTCCCCTAACTCTTCTTCCCAGCTCAAGTCCTTCCTCTGCTACTTGTCTTCATTATGTTAGGGCTGATCAGTGTCCAGCTGGTCCCTGGCTTGGCTTCCCAGGACAGTGTTTGTCAGTCTTGACAGCATTGCTGTGCTGAACCCATCTCCAGCAACTCAACTATGTTAAAGGAAAATCCATGCAACTGAGCTGCATCCCGCCAGGCTCTGCAGCGACCAAACAACATTACGAGCTATTTAGCAGCCCTTATGAAACAGTGTTAACCCATCTATTACTGCATTTCTGGCCATGGGACCAACAATGCTGCTGTAGCTGAGTAACACTAGTCTAAAAGCTGGCTGGTGTCTCTGGGAAGAGCCTGTTAGTCATGACAGTCCAGGTTGCAGCCCACATGTTGCTTTTTCCCATAATATGAGGGACAGGAGAATTTTGGAGAATGACGTGTTTTCTGGATCGCTATGTCTCGATGAGGATGGTAGTCCAGTGCAGGCTTGTCTTACCGGTGTTCCTCTTCGTGGAACAACCGCGCAAGCTGGAGTACCGCCCGAAAGGAGAAGGATGCAAAGTGGAATCCTTCAAGCAGAATAGCTGGCAAGTTGCACTAAAGGTCACCATCCCCTGTGATTATTTCCCGAAGAGCTGACATTCCCAAAATAATGATCAGGAAATGCCAACAAAGCAGAATGATAGGGAAGCTTGTAATTTCTGCCTTACATCCCACCCATCAGTTCCAGAGCAATGAGAAGGCACAGCTGGGAACAGGAAAAAGGCTTTCAGTGAAGGAGGTGCTGACGAGAGGGGCATTTCTCTGGCAATTCCCTAAATTCTGTGGGACGTGCATGATTATTTTGATATAGGGGATGCCTTGAAGAGAGCTGACACATTTCATGAAAAGAGCTCTAGCAAGACTGTGCAAAATGTGAGCAGCATGAGTCAAACTCATTGCACTAAAAGAAATTACATCCTTTCACTTCAGTGGGCTTGGATTAGATCTTGCAGGGCTAGCAACTGATGCAGAATTGAGGAAGGAAGTGTTAAATATAATTAACAAGTTTATTTTGCAAAGCTCAGAATGCATCTTTCTCATGTGAAAACACTGCCATCCAGCAGCTGGACATCATTCTCTTTTCTCAGATATAACCTGAATGTGAGGGCAAATCAAACAGGACCGGTAAAATGTTCAGCATTAGCATGAGAGCTGGTGAAGAATTCCTAGCTGAAAACTTGTTTGAAAAAACAAAGCAACTGAAAATTGAGTATTTTCTAGCTGAAAGCCATTTTGCTCCTAAAGTGACATGGTTTTGAAACTTTTTATCTATGTGTCCTTGCCAAAAAAGTTGGTCACCAGATTTTTATCTATGAGAATATCTTCGTATCTACAAGTGGATACTTTCATAAAAAATGTTTAGTACAGAAGTCAGAATGAACCCTCCCTCCCCTGAAGTCATATACAGCCATATGACCCTCAGTTCACATGGGTGAAGTCAACTAACAAATATTTTGGGGACTTACCTCATCTCCAAGTCTTCGTTTTCTTGTGGTACAAATTTGTACAAGGCAACATAGGTGCTCATTTGTAACGTGCTTTTATAAAAAGGTCCCTTTAAGAAAAAAGAGAAAGAGAAAAATTAAATATCTGTCCTGCATAGGAATTTGGATCACTTTGTTAGAGGCTGAGGAACCAGGGCCTGATCTTCCAAGAAATGAGCCAGAATCATCCCATTGCTTTCACATCTTGGAGGACTATGGCCCAGATACATTGCGAGCCACTAAGGGAGTAACTATCTCCATTTAGAAATATGATTCTTTGAACCCCAAGATGAAATTCCAGGCTTCCAAAGAACACAAGCAGAAATCTGCAGCAGTTACTTTTTTGGGTGAGCTCTTAAAAATGAGTCTGCCTTTTGCTGTCTGTCAATGCATGACTCTCAGGAGCCCAGTAGTGTATTACTGGCATTATACGAGGTGTCGGTTGTACAGCCCTCGTTATGGATGAAGCTAGAGTTGACAGTGCACAGGTCCAAAAAACAGGGTGGGAAGATCACTTTCTTAAACAGACAGCTGCTTGCGCTGGGCTTCCCACAGAGAAGACTGGCTACTCTCTCATCTCACTTTCTCCACTGGTAATCTGGAGGAAAAAAAGCTCCTAAACCAAACCCCAAATAATTTTCCAAATCGAATCTGTGAATTTTACATTACTGCAGTTCTGTTGTAATGACATAGCCTCCACAAGGGATCTTTTGTGTTCACAATATCAATTTGTAATAAACAAAGGAATATAAAAGGGACCCTAACAGGTAAACCAAAGAGCCGTCCAGTCCTGTATATTGCTTCCAGCTGTGGCCAGTGGCCCAGAAATGGTGTAAGAACATGACGGTCGGATATCAATGCTTCTCCAGAGTAGTGCCCCAGCAGACCTAGTCAAGGTCCTCAGCCACCCATAAACCCAGACTTTTATATGACTTCCCATTCCCGTCGCATTCTCACAAAGTTAATGCCCATACCGGGGAATGTATACTTTTTGGTTCTTCTCCAAAGTGTTCTGTGCCATTTTCGGAGTATGTAAACACTGAAATAAAGCAAACACATGACATTTTAGGAGTAGTTTAAGACTCTTCACCTCAACAGGATCACCTTTATTTTGTTAATCTCTCCCTTTTCCCCCTTACTTTCTTTTGTCCCTTGTGCTCTCCTCTGAACCCTTCTACACCTCCAACAAAACCACGTGTACCATTGGCACATGGCCCAAACCAGTCTCTGTCCTGAAGAATTTACAATTGTAACAAATAAACCATTTTGATCAGATGAATATACACAATTGCAGCACTGGGAATGGAACCTAGGACCCTTAATTGCACCACTAAAGTCCAGCAGGCTTTTCCCCACACTGACTGCTCTGTTTTCATGTTTAGGACGAGCAGTATTGCTGTTTAAAAGCACCTCCAAAACCTGATGACCATATATGAGCAATATTGCAGCGCAAAACCCCTTCTTTTCCCTCTTCGACCCTTTATCTCTAAATGTTCGATAGCCGCCTTTGATCCCTCTCTCCAGTGGTCCCTGCCTGGGGGGCACTGGATACGCTGCCTCTCTGATTTTATAGGAGGTACCTGAATTGCTTTCAAATTGGAGTGGGGCATCTGAGACACAGGCCTGTATGTGTGAACATTTGCTTCTAAGTTACTAAATCAGAAACTCACAATCAAGGCAATGCTCACAGCACCTAATGTACCTGACATCTAATCAGCTACCCTCTACGGTAATTGTTTCACGAGCTGTCCTCAGTATCTCCCTAGAAAAACCGCAGTGGCCTCATTACATTGACTGAATTCCCCTTTCACATTTTAAGAATTGCCTGCTGTTTCTTGCTTCTGGATAAAATCTGAACATGATTTTAATAGCTGGAGTCGTTGAGCAGCTAGAACCATCAGCATCTTCTCCCACCATTTACCTCTGCAGGTGTTTTGAGCAGAAGCTGATTTTGTAATCTCTAACAATTTGGAAATCTCCAAAATGGTAATAAGTAGCAGCTGATTGAGTGCATTTTTCTTTTTGTTTCTCTGTGATACGGTGACATGTGTTCAGGGGAAAGAAGGTGCCAGGGAACACCAAACTGCCGAATTTCTTTCCCCCTCGGTTCTTTCACTTCCTTGCCCTTTCTTCCATTAACACACATTTCAGTGGCCATTCTACACTGTAAAGGACAGCCAAAGAAGTACTAAGAAGTACTTAGACAGTGAAAAAATGTAGTGTTCTTGTAACAGAGGAAAGATAGCTAAAACGGCAGCCACAGCAAGCATGAGAAAGATTTTGTACAAAAAGTGACATGCATCCAGGAGCACAGAAAAGCACATGTTCTCTGACAAAACGTAAGACAATGTTGTAGTCGTAAAGTCCGCTGTGTGAATGTGAAGGCAGCAGGTGAGCTGATACCTGCAGCATTTAACCTGAAAATGCCCCAAGCTGCGTCCAGGCGGTCTGATCGCCGCTGACCTGGGGGCCTGACTGTGCCCCTCACCACGTCCTCTTGCAGAAGGACTCTGACCCTACAAACTCTCATGAGTACCTTGAAAATAAAATTAATTTCCTGCATCTTCTAGTATAGGGGTGTGTGTGTATCTGACATCTGTATAAAGGGGTGTAAAATGCTGCCGTTACCATCTGGCAGTGTTTAAATCCTACTCAAATTACTATGCTTTGTTTTCTGTGTCCAGAGCAAAAGGAATTAGAGAGGCAAACAGAAGAAGTTCTGGTTGAGAATGAGTTGGGTAACCGGAGCATTTTGGTCTTGCAGAAGGTCATTCACCAGACAAAGTGGAAGTATGTCAGCATCATGTTTGGAGCAATTTCTGCTTGGTGACGGAAAGCAAAGCCGAGTTGCTGATGCACAGCCTTGTGAGCTGTGGAGCTGACCCAGCGGGTGAGGAGGGAGCCGGACTGCATCCTTGGGTTTGCCAAGGAGTGCTCACGTAAACCTGGGTTTGCAGGGAAGGCGTCCCCGACTGGAGGGGAAAGCGCTCAAATCCCTGTTGATAACCAGCTCATACATGTCACTCACAGTACATTTTGGCTTGCGGGACTTTTGTTACAGACGGCAGTTCACAGCAGTGAAGGAGTATAACTGGCTTAGAAGAGGCTGAAGGGCTGGAAATTAGGTATGCCGTCTTAAGAGTTGTAAACTAGGAAGCTTTGCTTCATGGTATGTATGCCAGGGCCTGAATGAAAGTCTTCCCTTGAAGTTGTCGTAGGAGTCTATCGGAGCAATTACATGGCCACACGTGTGCTGGGTCCTCTCACCCTTCTGCAGGCTGTGTCTTTTCCACCGTTTCCTTTTAAGCAAAGGGTCTCCACCTTACATTTTCCTAAAATCTTATTTGCAGAAGACAGTTTTTTAATGGGGGGGGGGAATAAAGAACTGGAATAGACCTGATTCATCCAGGCATTAATGTGGAAGTGCCTGCTAAAGAGGCAGAGGACAACCGAGGAAAAAGGAGTGGTGAATCACTCTGTAACAGCATTTTGATTTTACTTTGTTAAATTTTTAATCTCTGTTTAGCTCATGGTCTCTGGATATTACTAGGAGGCACTTGAATCTGAAGGCCATAGAGGTATGTAGTTCGCATTTCCACACAACAGAAATCCATCTGTTTTCATACTTGTTTGCCCTGGCATCAGCAGATAAAAAAAAAAAAAAAAAAGCAGGGATTTTTAGAGTTTAAAAAGGATTTTACCATTTCCATAGCTTGTGCAAACAGTGCGGGCAGTTTATTAAAAATCTACCAAGGGGAAATTTTTGGAGTGGCTGATGCATAATTTATACACTGAGCCTCTGAAGGATGGATTGCAAAAAAGCCAGTGCTGATCAAAGGAATCGTTAATGTGCCGCGGAAGTTATTTGGAGGTTTGACACATGCTGAGTTTTTAAAGTAATCTCTTTGAGTAAGTTCCTTGAATGCCTCTCAGTGCGTTCAGTGAATACAGATCTCACAGAAAAAAGTTTCTTTGGGTTTCAGAAATGAAACTACTGATCGACAATGAAATAAAAATTTATCTGAAAACTCAAACAGGGCCAAATTAATCTCAGGTGGGCAGGATTAAACAGTGTGAAGGGGACTGAATTCTTTATTTTTAACCAGGTCAGGTCAACTTGTGCTTGTAAGACAGAAAACCTGAAAAAAATTGTCAGGAGAAAGCAGATCACATAGATGGGATGTTCAGAAAATGAGAGAGAGGAAATGACTGAACGCAATGGGGATAAGTGATAGGACCAGGAGGGGAGGAAAGGAATAAGAGGTAGCATAAAATGGGAATGGACAGCTTTTTTTTTTGCTAGTGGCATGTAGGGAGCACTGGGGGTGCTATGAAGAAGCAAGCTGTGCTCACTGTGATGGTTTTTTCTAGGGTACCTCTCATGTGAGATTCAGCAAAGCAGCCTTCAGGTGCTGCTAGAGAAGTTGCTCTGATGGGTTAGGCCTGAAGTTTTGCGTAGTGCTCCACAACCCTTTGTACTTATTGCTTCCCTCACCGTGACTGAACTCAAGAACAGGGTCTCAAACACTTTCCCTCAGTGGCTGAGATTTCATTACGAAGCTCTCAATTGGTATGATGGTCTTGAAATCCCATCATACCCACGCTGTAAAAACATTACTCTTGTACTGCAAAGGGAGCAAAGGAATTGGGCTATTCATGTTACTGGGCACATGCTATCGTTGCACTGAGAAGGTGCAATTATAATCAGAACTCCTTGTGTTGGGTATTTTACAGACACACGGATATTACATGATCCATTTCCTGTCCCAGAAAGGTCACGGTATATGGAGACATGTAGACAAGTCAAACATGTAGAAAAGAACGAAAGTATTCTTTTTGTTCCACTTTGCCATGTGGAACTGAAGCCTGTTAAGTCATTAGTCTACAGTTATGCTCATGAAGCACAGGAGACAGGGAATGGACCTGAACCTTGTCCAGTGTCGGGTCTGGACACAACAAATTTAGAAAACCAGTGGCTTGGATTTCATCTGAATCGCAAAAAGCATCCCCCAAACTCTTGCACCAACTACGTGCTCCACTCACCTCCCATTCTGAAAACCAGAATGCTGCTAAAACACGGACATGCCACAACAAACCATCTCAAAGAGGCTGTAGACACCTGAAGATGCTACCCTGTCCTGGTTGCACTCACCGCTGTTGCTGCGTTTCCTGCTTATGTCAAGGGTGCCTGCAGAGCTATCGCCTTCCTCGGGAACTTCTGCCAGGTCAGCTGTCTGCAGGGACAGAAAGAGCAAACGAGATGGGATAAGCCAGAAAAAGTGAGGTGAAATAAGAGCACCCAAGAGCCTTTTGGGGGATGCAGTACTTGGGTGCTGTCAGAACAGAGCAAGTCAACCTCATGGGATTGCAGAAAACCCAGTATCTGGTGATGCACAACAAATACCTACTTCACAGGGAGCAGTGAAAGCCCAGAAAGAATTCCAGACCAAATTTACAGTCTGCAGTACAGAAGATTTCTGCAGCATAAAGTGAAGTGAAAGTTAAGGAACAAAGGATTATATTAAACAATGTGGTTCTCTGCACAAAGAAGGAGGGCCTTGGGGGAACTTGTAGATCCTGCAGGTATACTAAATAGCTATCTACCAAGGAGACTAATTGAAGCTATTGACTATTAATTTATTAACCCTAAATACATTATTCAGCGATATAACTGCAATGTAAGGGTGATTTTAATTCTGTTGACATGCTGTGAAAGAAGGAGCTGGAGTGTGATGGAGTTGGTGAAGTCAGTCTTTAAATATCTGCCCTCACTTTCTTTTTAAATGGTCATCTGGCTGGTATGGCTAGGGAAAAATGAAACCCAAATGTTGTTGTTCAAATTACTATGATTTCTTATTTGTACCATATTAATGTCAATCATGATTAGGGACCCATTGTTCTAGGGCGTAGGAAAACGGGGGATGACATAATCTCAAACCTCAGAAGTATACTCTGCCCAAGGCACCAGATTCCTTGGTTGGGTAGTCAGCCTCTCCATTTATAGTCCGACAGGAACCAGGAGCTGCTCCAAACAACTCTGTCCAAATCTGACCGTACAGAACTTCAGTTTCTGAACCCTCCACACGTGATTTCTTTTGGGTAAAACATTTTTGATAAGCATAAAAAAACCCAAACATTGGACTTGAGTCAGGTGCTCTCTCTAATCTGAAAAACTGTAAATCCTTATATGCTCCTAAGATTTATTTATTACTTGTTAACAGGATTTTAAGATGCATGGTAGGACTTAACTTCATAATTCCACAACATTTTACAATTGTACTGTACACGTAGCTCTGTCCATTGCTTTGCAGACCTTTGCCTACGTTACAAGAAGAAAAGCCAAGCGAGGAACATTTGCTGCTTTGGTTCAGGGAGCACAAAATCTGAACTGCTTTAGAGATTTTTATATCTTTTTTTTTTTTTTTTCCTTTTACTAGTGTTGACAACAAAGCTTCTTTTAGAAAATACTTTGACAATTTTATTTCCCGTATCTAGTACCTCCCTAGCTACTTCTCCATCCAAGGATACTAATGAACAAAGAGGTTAAAAGTATATTTCTGCCACAGCTATCTTGTGGTTGTCTTGTTTCCCTTGCTGTTTTAGGAGCCTTCCACTTTACTGCTCTGTTATGCCTTGTTTTTAGACTCAGCTTTTTGCAGCAGGTCATGCTTGTCTTACATCTTGCACAAATGGGTCACCTCTGGACGAGAAGGCACTGCAATAGCAACACTAACACCGAGTGAGTGTAAAGCATACCTAGGGATTTCTAGTTGCTGGGTGGAGAAGGGAAAGATTGGTTTTGTTGAAATGGTAAGTCCCAGCTATTTCTCGGTCTTCACAGGCTAGCTTCATAACTGCTGATTAGCTTCCTATTTTGGTGGGTACCACTGCACATGGGATGTGCAGTGACAGTCTCTTCAGTATATACCTCATCCAAAACCTCCTGAAGTAATCTCAGTTACCCTTAACAATCTTTTTCAGTCAAGAGCTATATGACAAATGGTCTAATAGAAATGGCAGAGGTACAAAGCTGCTTTTGAGAGGAGCTGATCCATGGAAAACTAGCAAGAACTGGAATCACATTTACATCACCTCAAGTGACTTTCTGTATAAATGTGGGTTGCAGAAGCACATTTTTGAAGGAAGCAGTAGGTAGTAAATCTGGAGCATATGGCCACTTTCTTTTACGGGAAATGCAGAATCTGGACTGAAAAATCACAGTGGGTGCGTCCACACTGCTCAGTCATGTTATAAATACCTTGGCTAGTTCAGAGCAAGATGGTTATCTCTACTCTGCACAGAGACATGAACTGCAGTCCTGGAAGCTTCATGGCCGTAGAGGCAAGGCAGGACTCCTAGGCTAGTCACCTTGGCTTTTAACAGCAGCTATGCTGTTCTGACCCAGAGCTAGCCCTTTGACAGCTTGGCCACCACCTGCGAGGTGAATCCCAGATGTCACCACATCCCTGGTGTCCCTGGTTTGGTGGCAGGGCAGAACCTTGAAGCGCTCCCCAGCTCCCAGGGCTGGGGCACAGCCCAACCACAAAGCCCCTGTGCTGCTGTGAGCCTCACAGCCGCATTGCTCCGCTTGTTGCATTGCTGCTTCTGCTTTGGGAGGAGAAGTGAGGACTACTGGGGAAAGATCTTAGTCCCTAAGTGTTATTAACTGCACATGTGCTGCTAGCTCACATGCACTGGTGCATTTTTACCTGGGATTTATGGTTTCTGTGTCACATCCCTGCTCCGGTCACTGGTCAATGCCTGCTCCTGGGTCACACATCACAGCTGTAAAGCTCCGTCATTCGGATCAGGGTTGTGTCTGCCCCTGGTTTTTATCCTTGTCTCAATCCACAGGCTTGCACTAGCAGAAGTTATGGTTTCACATGTCTGTTTCTTCAGTTCTCTAATGTCTTCTATTTTCGGTACCCTGACACTTGCTGTATTCTCTCTCAGCCTCAATACCCTGGAGAAATTCCCATGATGAAGTTGTGTCCCTCATTCTACACCCACAGCCCACCTAGTTACGATCAGCTCCCTAGGGCAAACTGACACAGCAATCGTGATTTCTACGCCTGAGTCGTCATCCATAATTGAACAGAACGCTTTATTGATTTAGAAAGCAATAATTATATTTGTACAACTTCTGTTTCAAAGTAAATTAAATAATTGAAAGAAAAAACTGTAATCACAATGCGACAGGTGGTAGAGTCACTTTGGGTTTTAAAAAAGAATGGAAATTACCAAATTCCTTTTAAGACACAAACAAGGGTGGATAGAGGACGTGTCCTTTAATAACTGCCTTGCAGATTTCACTTAGTTCTTGTTTAAATTTGCCCGTCTTCTTTCCCATCTGACACAAATGAATGTCTGTTTAGAGGCCACCTGTACCACCTGGGGTTACAGCTCAGCCTGTGAGCGAGCACACGTTTAAATACCAGGGAAATGTTGTACCAAACAAACAGGCATTAGCACAACTTTAATTTAAACATCCAAGTATTTGCTCTGAGGCCTGGACACCAAGTCTCGTTATGTCCCTGTGCCTGGTGATTTTTATTCTGAGGTTTGTGCAGGAGATTGTCAGATAACCCGGGTCTGACTTTTAGACATGAAAATCAGCTTTAGCCTCCGGTGTATTCAGGTGTGATTTCTGTTTTGCTTTGGTTTTTTTGTGGGGTTGGGGGGGATCGGGGATAAAATGTTGGGAAAAAAAGAGAACCTCAAGAATAGGCTTAAGTGCCTGTTTATGAGAGGTGATAGGGTATGAAATGTTCTTTCAACACCATGAATGAGCTCCTAATCTCATGGGTCCCAATACTGTCGAAATAACCATTTCTGTAAGGAAGAAATTGGCAATTATTACTGTTGAACTAAGTATGGATTTAGCAAAGGCAGGGCTAAGGGAACTATCATTTCCCTTGTCCTCCTTCTTCAGCTCTTCTAACATGATCCTGAAGAAAGTGACTTTTGTGATAGGAGAGAGTGAATGACAAAGATTAACACGAAGGTGAATATTTCCCTGTCTGGATACAACAAGCTGAGTACACCTGCCTGTATTTGGGTTTTGGAGAAAGGAGCCTAAATCTGTGATGCCTCTCTCCTAGTCTACACTGGGCAGGGGCGAAGTTGCCAGTCCACTGCCTTGTTGCAGTAGCAGGGGCTTAATTTTGGCTGGGCTTGTACTGTGGAGCTTGTACTTTTAAATCTAGGCTCTGAGGGCTCCAACCCATTGCTATCACTTGCACAAAGGGTCAATGCCCACCACCACCAACCAGCAGTATGCATCTGCTCCAGCACGACACTTCAATATCTCTGTTCCACTTTTACACAGGTATGCAAAATCAAAAGAATAAAATTTCCTTTTCCAATCCGATAAAAGAAGATTATTAATTTAATTTGTATTTTTCTCTTTTTCTCAAGAGTCATCTAAAAGATACTTAAAACCCAAGTTTGCAAAAAATAACATGTTTTCTGGTCTCATTTTGGAAGCTGAGAGTGAGATTTTTTTTTTTTTACAGTTTGAAACACAAGTTTTGTTCTGATACAAACTCCTGTGAATTAATATCTGTTGCTCCTCCAGAAAGAAAATGGAAGAAAGATGTGGGATACTTACAGAGTTTCTGTTGGGAGAATCAGACCCACTTCCAGAACTGCCCTTCTTAGTTTTCTGGGCTAAGGAAGTCCCAAAGCGGAGAGTTTCATACACAGGGTCAACCTTATTTCCACAGGCTGCAACAGAAGGAGCAAAACATTCATCAGTCACTCGAAGATGTTTCTGGTCATGTTCCTGCTCCAATTGGAGAAACATCTGCCTCTACCAACGGGTTGGGGTGTACCCCTAGGCACAAGTTGAAAGACTATCCTGATAAAAAGTATTTGATGAACTTAGAGAAATTGGCTTTTGCTGCCCCTCTGCTCCCATAAAGATCATCCTCCCCTCATATAGGCTTTTCAGGTCCTGGCCATTGCCTTGCCTCTCTTCACCTGCCATCCTCCTTCTCTAATCACCACTGATGCTGCCTACATTGAGGTAAGGAAGATGAGATACCAGGTGGCTTTAATCCATGTCTGCTGCCTCTTCCTACACCTGACCTCTTGGATTGCTTTCAACAGCGGATGCTTGAAAGGAAAAACCCTGTGTTGTGCTGGAGCATCCTCGTGGTATGGGTGGGCCATCACCTTTATCCATCTTCCCTCACAGTGCTCCTACTTGGGTAATGTGGATAAACAGGATGGCCTGGATCTTCCTTGAAAGGTACTGACATCCCCACTGTGGGGCCATATGGGGTCTGGAGGCAGGTGTGAGTAGGTACTTGCTGTTGGGAATGTACTCCAAGTTGCTCAACTCAGTCTAGGAGTAACCAGAAAGGCCACCACCCCCACTGGAATATGTCAGTTCAATTCTCACTCCTACTCTCCCTCCTAGCTGGCCCCAAAAGTCATCTCCTATGGCAGAGAAATGGATGTCTTCAATTGGCATGAGCAAATTCACTTCAAATCCTCTTCTATATACTGCGTTATTAGACCTCAGCCTCCCTGAGGTATAAGGCAGTAGTACTCCTTGTGGCACAAGGCAGTAGACACGTAGAATACAGCACATTTGTAGTACTGTGTAGAAGGAGGGAAATTTTGGCCAAAGTACTGAGAAAATACATGGGATTTTGAATTTTGATGAGAGAAAAGCACACCTCTTTTTTTTTTATCCAGAGTTTGTTCAAAATGTTCCTATTATTTCTGACAAAAATGATGGATGTTTTTAAGAAAGAGAAACTAAGACGAAATCCGTGTGATTTGGTCGATTTTTTTTTTTAACCGCTAAAAAAAATAAAATAAATGTCCTCAGACAAGTAATTTTAACTGACTGCTTAGTTTTAGCTTTCATTTTTTGTACTGCTGGCCTTGCCTAGTCAGAGTACTGGTGGAGAGAAATATTTTCCAGAATCAACTCAACTTCTCCACTTCAAAAGGTGTCTTTTCAGGAAGTCGGTATTACAGTGAGTCAAATCTGGTCTTTTAAATACTCGGACAATGTGTAGACATGGTCAATACGGAAAAATATGAGGAAAGGAAGAAGCGTGGATGAAAAAGGACAGGAACCTAGCAACGTCCCTCAAAAGCCAGTGAGTGGTTTGAATGCCTGCTGCTGATTTGACCTCTCTGTCTTTTATCTGGCTCTTCCCAGCTCAGACCTTCACCTCAATATTCCAGTGTTTCTTCCCTTTCAACTTCCTACCTTAATCTCAGGTCGTTATTATTATAAACAGGGTAATTGCTAAGAGGTTGTATGTACGGGGTTTTGAGTGAAACGCACAATAAACACACCCTCTCCTCTTCCAGCTTTGTATCTTTGAAGTGGTCCTTTCCTGAGATGGCAGAAGGACATCCAGTCACCGAAAGGAGCTGGAAGGCTGCTGAGGGTAAATACCACGGCTGGAAGTCTGCCGCTGCTGTTGCAGAGCACTGCCAAGGGGCAGACTGAAAGGAAAAGCAATCAAGACCTACCAATAGGCATCACTTCTTTGATGCAGCCAAACTGTTCATGAATGAGTAGTGGTGAGCTGTAGTACCGTCGAAATCCCTTTGGCTGGAGGGAGAGAAAGCAAAAACAGGTGAAGTGCATTGCTGCCGTGATTGATGTAGCAGAAATAACCTCAGCTCTTCGGCTGATGGCATAGCAGTGTGGCGAGGCTGGAAATCTGCCTCCTGTTGTTGAGTCACTGTGGGGTTTAGAGAACAGGGAGTTATTCGATTTTTCTCCTGGAAAAAAGCCGTTTCCCATATTTATGCGGAAGGAGGGGGGCTCATTTTCAGCTCCCTTTTTTCTTTTGCCTTACACAAAAGCAGAACTAATTAATTGCAGCAGAAGTGCTGAATCATTAGAGGTTCTGGGAAGCTTCCCTCTCGCTTTCTTCTTATGTAACACGAATTTGCATTGTTTTGCATTTGCTAAACATGTGAGTATCCTTCCACACCCTAACGCCAAATCCTCATGTTCCCACGTATGCACTTGTGAAACCCAAGGAATTTAGATCCTTTCTGTAGGTTTTTCTAAGGTTTGCTGCTGACTGACCGCATCTTCTGCTGCTTTTTTGTCTTGTAAGGTCAAAAAACTCCCCAAGTCATCACCAGATGTCCCCTCAACGTCCATTTGTAGAGAAATGCACTATACCAACTCAAGCTCTACCGTTAAAGAACACCAAAATATGGCCAATAACGGTGCCCTATACCACTCTAAAACCCATTCTTGGAAGGTTAAACATTTCCCGTTACCTCTCTATTTATGATCTCAGCTAGGAAACATCTCAGGCAAAGGCTGGGTACCCAAAATGAAGGTGCTAACATCTTAAGTCCTTGGAAATGCCCTTCAAGGTATTAGAGATTCACAAATGGTCTCTCAGGTTTCTAATCTTTGCAGGCTGTGAGAACTTCCAGTCAACAGCGAGAAGTGGAAAAGCCTCATGGAGATGTGCATATTTTCCACATCCAACGTTCAGTATACATCAAAAACTGATAGACAACTTGGTCTTTTGTTAATGAGCTGCAGTATAGATTAAGAAGGAATGAGGGGACTGATAAATTTGGTTTCTCAGAGGAGTAAATTCCAGACTCTCCAGCCTCGGTTTGCCCCCAAACTAGATTGAGACACAACACGAGCTCATAAAACTCCCGTGACTTTGCTGGATGACTTCCTGCTGTAAATTTGGTCTCTGTTTTTCTGTCTGTGTAAACTGGTGACCACAAGAGCTGAGGCTGGAATCAAGAAGTTCATGAAACAATTAATGTGATTTAACATTTGACTTGTCCAGGGCTTGCAATGAAGTCATTCAGCTCTTCACAGACCAACTTCCTATACCAGAATGGCTCACACTAGGCCTACGATTATGGTTTAAACGCATAAAGATTTGCCTCAGATGTCTAAACAACACTAGTTTTCACTGAACTCTCTCAGAGAGAAAAGATCTTTTCAGTGAAAGGTGGGGTTTCTAGCCCTTTTGAAGTCAATGCTTGCATTTTTTCATCATTTAACACAGTGAAACTGTTTGGTTTTACCCCATATTTGTCTCAGGTGCCTTCAGGTTGTAACAAATCTGAGAACATCCGAAACATGAATATACATATTCAGTTTTCGTATTCCAAATGGTCGTTTTTCCAAGTTCTTTTTCCAAAAGTAACCAAAAGAACCATATTCCCATAAAAGTCATCAAGTTGGGTTAGAATAATCTCAAACACAGTTTCGTGCCTTTGTCAATAATGAGAATTTACTGCTCAGAAGGTGACCTAGGTACCAAGGTGCTGGGTCCACACAGGGGCAGATCTCCTTCCAGTCTCTCCTACTGAGAGATTGCTTCAAACTCTGTAGTGTCTCACTGTGAAATATCGTTTCGTTTTCTTTTTAAGATGAATTATGACTTTTCTTCAAGCCCTAACACTGGAAAAAAACAATAAAACATAATTTGAAGGATTTTTCATTTGTTAAACTCCACGAAAATATTTTGACTAATTTATAGCATTCCTTGAGAGATTTACACTACAGCAAGCACGGTTTAAATCAAAGGAACTAATTTTGTTATTTAGCTACATTTGTGTTACGCAACTGTATTTTCACATCCACAAAGCAGACCAGATTTATGTTTCATTTTTGTTCAGGTTTTTGAGTAGTAGCAATTGCTCAAATTGTTAACAGGGCACTGCCTGGCTTTCCCACCTCAGTAAAGCGACCTGGTGCTGGTTCTGTTAAAGCACCAGCTGAATGCCACCCAGGGGGTCCGGCACACAAAGTAAGCGGCTCCAGCACAAGCTGGTATCTCCCACTGCCCTTGCTGCCCTGAGCTGCTCACTTACCAGCTTGCCCATGCAACGCTGTTGTCCGATACTGTCTGCACACTTGTGGTGGATGCTCATCTTACAAGCCTTACAGCGCAGTCCGTGCTTAGCGTTTGTCCCTGTGAAATGCACGGAAATGATTTAATTAGAAAAAATCAATAGTTTCCATGCATTTAACGAATGACCTGAAAGAACTGATGGGGAGGTCAGTTGCGGCAGAGTAAATATTGACAGTGTTCTTCGCCTTCCCTACTTTTTTTAATATACCTTTATACATGCATTTTCTCTATAGCCTCTCCATTTTAGGCATTTCTCCCCCAGGCTCTTTCCTAGGTTATTGCTGCCTTCAGATAGATATTGGATTAAGCTCTGTTGTCTGATAGTCTTATCAGTGATGTCTCTGCCTCACGAACATCAAGCAAAATCCCTTTGCTGTTTTGAAAGGGCTTGGCATGAGAGCTGTGCATGGCGGAGGGAGCCACTGAAGAAGCACCCAAGCTGTGGAGCTGCCCTGGGGAGCCAGGCCATCAGTGGAGGGCCCGGTTTTGTCGGTGAGAAGTAGCTGCAGGGGTGTGTGAGCAGCTCCCTTACCATTGCCCACCCCTGTGCCCAGGGAGTGCTGCTCTCACCCCCCTGGGCCAGTGCTTAGAGGGTGCAGGAAGGGCTCCGTGCACATCCCCGAGTGGGGCAGTGAGGATGCCATGGGTCTGACCTTGCTCTCCTTCACTGGCAGTGGAAGACTTCAGCGCCAAAGGAGAAATTTTGCCTTACAGAAGCAGAGTTCTCCCACTTGGGCAACAGTAGTTCTGCATTATCTTCAGTGTGGACCTAGTCTTAAATGACAGAGCCAAGTCTGTTTGCTTCCAGGCAGGAACAATCACTCTTATTCATACACCCGTAAGACTTCCTAAACTACGCAGAAGCAGTTAAGCTGCAGCAACTCTTTTATCCCCACAGGACGGAACAAATGGAATGCGTAAACAACATGTCAGTTCATTATCATCTGCTGTGAGAGGGAGTAAGAAACAAGGTAGTAAAAAACCCCCAAAAACTCTTGACATTTTAACCAGCCCTCATTAGTCAGACATGATGGGAATATTAGTCAGAAGCATCCTGCATCTGAAAGTACTCATGTAGCTCTGGGTTATTTGAGTAGTCAATACCATGTACACGCTGCTGACTTCATTCAGTGAAACGCTACGTCTGAAAGAAGCACTTCAGGGAAGGGTTCATCAAGTTGGTGACAAAACCCAGACCTCGACAGGACTGCTTCCAGGGGAAGAGGTCCCTGAAGCGGCCCCTTTCAAGTCAGATAGAGGCAGGCTGGAGGAGCTGGGGGCGATTGCAGGGAGCCAGGATCAGGCACCTCACTTGTGCACTTCTGGTAGGACAGGGAACCGACATCCTCCTGCCTTCCTTCGGAGACTGCTGGAGAGATGGGGAGTGAGTGGGGCTGAGTCTGGGGTGCACCCCAGGGACTCCCATGGAGTGGAGTCAGCGCCTGCTCCCCGCTTGTTGCCTGCCCGGCCCCTCTCAGCATGTGCAGATGTCTAGCCTCATTCCGGGGGTCTTTTTTCCTAGCAAACACAGGATTTGTTAGAAGAACACGTCCCTGTTTTGTTGTAGGTTGTTTTTTTTTTCCCCTGTGTGGTTACACTTGGATTACTGTGCTGTGAGGATTTTTTCAGTTATAATTTCTTTTCAATAACACATGCTCCAACCAATATTGACTTCTGCAGCTTTGTGCTTTTATTACTGATGATGACATGCTGAATCACCCTTCCTGATGCTCAACAACTGACACAGTGAGAAAACAGGACTTCCTCCACATTTTTAAATTGTATTTATAGAGTGGAATGAAAAAAAAAATTACATCATACTTTGCCTATACAACACATATTTAGCATCAGTGCTTATTACACCGGGTCTGATTCTCCTCACCCTGGTCTGTACCAGCATAACTCTTACCTGCTTTGCCAAGTGACTCCTGAGATTCAGCTGAAAAGGCAGCCAGTCTCACAGTCCTTTCTGCTGGCTCTGTTATGCTTTTCCAGCCATTTTAGTGTTAACATTATAAGGTGGATATTGGTCCTTACATGTTATAACCGTCTGATCACAGAAGACACGCATTTGTCAATATAACTGTGCATCCAAATGATGTACAAAAAGCATGCAAAGTATCTGTGCTACTTCTTTGGAACAGAAATCTGTGGTCATGTAGAAATTAGTAAGACAATAAAAGACAAAAGAGCAACACTATATCTGCCTTTTGTTACCCGTGGGTAGGTAAATAGTGGCTTCAAAGAGAGGAAAAGTATTTCAGTCACATGCTTGAGTCTACAAGAAGTCTTTGTAAATCAAAACAAAATTCCCTATAACTATCAAAAGCTTCAACTTTTAATTCATTGTCATTTCTAACTACTTGGTTTACTGTGGGACTAAGCAGCTTGGAAATAATTTGCATGTATCTCCCTGCCTCCCACAGAGGAATAACTAAAGGGCTTAAAGAAGCAGCATTTGTTCTGTATTTACACTTAACTACCATATCTCAAGCTCTGAAAAGGGCATTTCTACAAGACACATCTTCTTTCCCCAGGATAATTCTTTCTTCTTCTTCAGTTTCTGATCTCCATCACACTTAATCAAACCTCCTCAGAGAATCACAGCTAAGCTATTTCAAAACTGCGTGCCAGAGATTAGACAACTACATATTGACAACGTATCTGACCCAAAAGTTCCTACGATTCACAACTGAGGCACAGCCACAAGTCCACATTCGGTATAGGTGCAAACGAGACCAGGGTTTGACTCGTTGCATCAGTTTTTGGCCTCCCATGTAAGCAAGCTTCTTGACTTTGCAGTTGCCTGAATGGGGCTGGTTGCCAAAACTCGGATGGATGGCTCCCATTTGAGGGACTAATGGGTAAAACTGTCAGAGGTGTCACTAATACGGCACTATTTGGCCCAGATGCTGGTGTTTAAGTTGTAAAAATTGCAAGCTGCTAAAACTGGGGGTTTAGAATGGAAAGTACAGGACATGTTCAGCTGACTCATAGTGCCCATAAACAGAACCATCAATGTAGCCGTGAAATTCATATAGGAAAAAATCACATATACATACACTTGCACATATGTCCTCTGTGTCCTATATATTAATGTATCTATTAATTATCTCTCAGTCTGTAAAGGCTGGTATTCCTT